TTGGACCGGTCGATAGTCATTCGTTCCTGGCTTTCTTACGGGGAGCAGTGGGGTGTTCCAAGGGGACTGACAGGGGCAGAGTATGCCTATTTGTAAAAGTCTTTGAATGTGGGGTCTGATTCCTTCTCGGGCCTCTCTGATCATGGGGTATTGTTTGATTGAAACCGGGGTTGCAGATGGTTTTAGAGTGACCACTATTGGAGGCTGGTTAAATGCCAGTCCTGGGCCTCCTGTCTCGGCCCATGCTGAGGGGATTTTAGTTAACCAGTCTGATATACCAGGGGTCCCTATTATCGGTCCTTCATATAACCGATGTTCATCTTCCAGCAGTAGGGTTAATACATGTAGTGGAGCTCCATTTTTTCCTTTTAGGGTAGCTCCCTTTTTGGTGAAGTGGATGTGGGCTCCCAGCTTAGAGAGTAAATCTCTCCCAAGAAGGGGATATGGACAGTCGGGGACCAGCAAGAATGAGTGGGAGACCTGACCTGTGCTGAGGTCCACTTTCTTTCTGTGGTCCATCTGTATGTTTTTCCTCCAGTGGCCCCCTGGACCCAGGCTGTTTTGGAACTCATGGGTCCTTTGGTTGTTGTCAAGACTGAGTGTTGAGCTCTTGTGTCTACCATGAAGGTAGTCAATTGCCCCCTACCTTTAAAGTTACCCTGGGCTCAGGGGGGAGCTCCTGGCCCCGACTTCCCTAGTCCCCTAGAGTCAGGACTGGGGTTGTCTTCTTTTGAAGCCTGTTCAACTTCTTTGGACATTCTTGATCCCAGTGTCCTCTCTCCTTACAATAGGCACACTGGTCTTTATCCACTCGGGGCCTTCTCTTGTCTCCCAGGTCCCTACCTTGTCCTGCTCCCTGTCCTGCTCCCTGGACTACTGTGGCCAAAATTCGACTTAATTCTTTTTTTCTCTTTTTCTCTCTCTTATCCTCTCTAGCTTCCTGCTCTTTCCTACCTGGTCCTGGTCCTGTTCCCTGAACTACTGTGGCCAAAATTCAACTTAACTCTTTATTTCTCTTTTTCTCTCTCTTATCCTCTCTAGCTTCCTGCTTTTTTCTGATTCTGTCCTCTCTTTCCTCTAAAGTTTCTCGCTTGTTATAGATTCTCTCAGCTTCTCTTACCAAGTCCTGTAAGGAGTACCCCTGAAGGCCCTCTAGCCATTGGAGCTTACCACCAATGTCAGGAGCTGATTGTCCTATAAAGGCCATAATAAGGTCTGTCTGATGCTCCTGGGCCGTGGGGTCAAAAGGGGTGTACATCCGATATCCCTCTATCAGACGCTCTAGAAACCCAGCGGGGGTTTCATTTTCCCCTTGGGTTATAGCACGTACCTTTGCCAAATTGGTTGGGCACCTTCCGGCCCCTTTGAGACCTGCTATCAGAGTCTGGCAATAAAGACAGAGATGCTCCCTACTGGCCATAGTCTCGTGGTTCCAGTTGGGTCTGGTCAGAGGAAATCCTTCGTCTATTTCATTTGGGAGCAGAGTGGGTCTCCCATCCTGCCCGAGGATGTTTTTCTGGGCCTCTAGGATGACTCGTTGTCTCTCCTCCATGGTTAGGAGTGCCTGGAGGAGTTGTTGACAATCCTCCCAGGTGGGTTGGTGGGTAAGGAGAATAGACTCTATTAAAGCAGTTAGAGCCTGAGGATCCTGAGAAAAGAGGGGTTATGAGTCTTCCAATTATACAAGTCTGAGGCTGAAAAAGGCCAGTACTGGATCTGATCCCCTACAGTTCGGAGGGGAAAAACCTGGGCAGCCCAGGTTCCATCAGAGGGGCCCCCTCTATCCCTCCTTAAGCGGAGTCTGCTAGATGGAGGGGGGGATTGGTCGGGTTTGGTGGAATCAGGAGAGGGATGAGGTTCCTGGGGTGGAGGTGCCTGCGTAGGTGGATAGGGAGGTGGAGGATCAAGGAGGGTTAGGGAGGCTTGGTCCTCGGGGAGGACTGGCTTTTGCTGGGGAAGACTGAAGGGGCAGGAGGGAGGAAGTGAGACTCGGGGGAACAGAAGGGGTAAGGGGCCCTTGATCAGTCTCTCTGGTTCCCCGAGGAGGTAGGAACGGCTGTGCCCAAGATGTGGGGTTCCGGGCCAAAACCTCCCAGGTGACTATGTAGGCCACCTGGTCCAGGTGGCTGTGTGGTCCTGGGTAGAAAATTTATCCCTTAACCTGCAAGATAGTAGCAAGGTTAAAAGTCCCATCCCTTGGCCACCCCTTTTCAAAAGACAGCCACTCAGAGGAACAGAGACTTTGCCACTTCTTCTTTCAGACTGCCACTGATAAGTTGTGGGCCCGCTCCATGACCTCCTTCCAGTATTCTAGAGTTAAGCTTAAGGGGGTAGTTAGTGATTGACCCATGGTGGAGGTCACAGAAGAGAGGAGAGAGAGAGAGAGAGAGAGAGAGAGAGAGAGAGAGAGAGAGAGAGAGAGGAGAGATGCAGATGCCACTCCAAACAATAATGACCAGTGAGTGTGCTTGTGGATGAGTACCTATCATTGCCCAGTTTTTCTTCTGCGGGAGATGTGAATTTATCTGGGATTCACACCTAGGACCCCCTTATCCTTTCAAGGGAGCCTTTTGGCGATGAGCGCCCTGTGGCTCTTACTTGCTCTACCCGTGCCCGCGGGGCTTTTTCTAGTGGCTAGAGAGAGGGATGGAGAGGAAAGAGAAATACAGATATGGGGTCCTGTCTCCACCCATGCAGGCAGTCGGGGTCCGTCAAGAGGGCTAAGAGCCTTTGGTTTACACCAGGGAGTAGGCCTGACCAGAAAACCTCAATTGCTTCTTCGCCTTTAAGGGTCCCACGTGAAGACTTAGACCGAGAATAATAGGAAGGAAAAAGGAGGAAGGGAAGGTTTAAAATAAAGAGTGTAAAGAAAAATACAAAACCAGACCTCCCCCTATTAAAATATTAACACAACCATCAAGCATACACACCACACTGAATCACATTCATGTGGACCGGTCCTTCTTTCACTCAGACGCGCACTGCACCTGCCATTCTCACTTTCAGGATCCCCAAGCACAAACACAGACACCCACAAAACAAAAAATCCTCGGCGCGCGCTTCTTGACTCAAAACTGAAAGTACAGACCGGGAGGGGAATAGCCAAACCGATCTCCCTTCTTCTCCTGGGATGAGGAAAGCTACGCTGTCCTCCCCACTCCAGACCACTCTGGTCACTAAGATCAGAGTGTTGGAACCAGGGGCCCCTGGGCACATCTGCCACTCCCGCTGATTCCCAGAAAACAGACTTACAGGTCCTGTACAGGCACAGTTGTTCAGACGGAACGTTCCCAGAACAGGAAATAACTGACAGACATTAAGACCAAGACAAACCACAAGACGTCTGTTCTTACCTCCTGCTGATCTGAGGACATGGGTCTGGGGGCAGCCAAATCCTGGACGAGCCCCCAAATGTTGGACCCCCGTCTGGGGTACCCAATGTTCACGGGAGGCCGCACCCCAATAACTCAGTCCTCAGACCAGCAGATGCAACAAGCAAGAGGATTTATTGGCATTTGCGCAGACGGGCTTCTGCCTCACTCGGAAAGGAGAAGCCCCGAGCTCAGCTTACAGGCTGCTTATAAAGGCAAAAACCACAAACCACAAGCGACTCCTAGCCAAGAAAAGCAGAAGTGGGAGGGGGAATTTCTCGGGTGATTTTCAGCTTGGGCAAGGAGCGTGAAAATTTTTCAGGTGATTTCCAGCTGGTGCAAGGTGCATGAAAAGGTCAGCTCTTTCTCAGCAGTTAGAATTATTTTTCATTTTACTTCCTTGTACAGTTTTTCCTTTACCTGGGGGACTTGTTTTGAATCCATCACTTTGAGCTTGCAGGTATCTGGAAAAATGGGGAGATCTAACCAAAGACAACTTAGTCCCTCAGTGGGGAATATTTAATGTTCCAAAATTGGGATTTTTTTTGCGGGGGGCATGCTCAACTAAAAGTCCTAGGCAATAATATTTGAAACCATCACCTGGGCAGTCTGCTTAAATTAAAATGTGAGATTATATATTTTTTAAAAACCCAAAATTATAAAATTGACAATTTACAAAAATAAGAGCTCTAAGAAGAATAACGTGAATAAAAAACCTATTAAAATTAAAATTAACAAAATTTTTAGAGAGTGAATCAGAACTATAGACAAATTCTAGCCTTATCTCCTCTTTCTCTGACCTTGCCATGGTTCTTTATCTCTTAGCACCAAGCTTTCTCTGCAAATAGATTACGGCCTGTTTTAAGAAAGGGTACTTCTTCTGGGAAGCTGGAATATGTCTCATTTTCTCTTGCTTTGAGCAACTTGTTTGTCCTTAACACTCCTGTCTAAGTCTACATTAAAATTGTCTTTATTATACTAGCTATTCTTAAAATTCCCTTCAGCAATTAAAGCCAAGAATGCTGGCTTAAGTGGACATCTCCTCGGGCTCCTAATGATGACCAGTGACAGCTATGTCTCAGTCAGTCCTGAAGCATCTGGGCCATCCTAGTGAGATTCATCTTGAAACATTGGTGAGTTTCTCATCTGCCACCTGTATACTCTACCCTGCTACACACTTCGGGTTCCTTTGCTTCTATTTCACTAGGAAAAAAAAAAAAAAAGATACAACAACATGTGATTTTTTTTTTTTCTGGGATATATGAAAGGAGCTGACTCTCAAGAAGGCCTAAGCCAGTCTCTTACCTCTCAGAAAACAGACTGAGATGACTAAAATGTGTTATCCTTAACCTAAAAGAAACCCTAATAGTTTCCTGATTTATGTTACGCTACTAGCTTAAGCAAAGGGAATTCTACTGGTTTCACAAATAAAGGCATCACCTCTGTAAGAGACATTAAATGTTAGTCTTCTTTTCCAAAACCTGCAAAATTTATGACAAGAAATTCTAATCTTTTAATCCTGCCACACCTTACACCACCTGAAATATTCCTGAGCCTGATGGCCTGGAGCAGGTGAGTTCTTAACAGTTCCCTCTTTGGGCAGAGTCTTAAACTGGATTTGACTGACCGTGCAATGCACCCTGATGCAAAAAGTGAAATCTGCTTTGCCAAGTTACTATTGCTTTTTCCACATGTTCTTTGTGAGGTATTGTTAGGGTTCTTAGATAATGAGTTTTATTTATAACACCTTTCAGTTATTTAGCTCTTAAAAAGAGAAAGAAATATTACCTTAAGTCTACACTGCAAACTTCCCCCTTTTAGGCCACGTCTTTTTTTTTTTTTTTTTTAAGATATTAAAGAGCTAGAGATAAAAGTTTTCTGTCTTCTCTCACTCCTTGGTACACCTGGATTTCACATAATTGTGTTATGTGTAAGATAATCGCTTTCATGTGTTGTTTGTGTCAAGACAATGTTTTAACTGGCCACTTCAGTTTTTCATTTTATTTTGTTTTTTCCTTCCTCTTTATTTTTATTGTGTATAAGAATTATTATTTTTATTATTATTTTTTGGCATGCAAGATTAAAATGCACATGTGCAGGTTTATAAAGGTTGTATTTTACTAATGTATAAAAGGCCTGATAAATACATACTAAACTTGAGTACTCTAAATATCTTAAAAAAAAAACCTATTGATATCTTTGGGCCTATCAAATGTTCCACAAAACCTTTAAAGGATAATTGCTTATACTAAATGGCATTCATTAAAATTATAAGATAAATATTTCAGTAAGCTATAAAATCTAACATTACATACATAGATTTTGATTAAGATTTCCTTCCCTAACAGGTTCTAAATATATAGATATAGATAATTTCAATTTTGTGATAGAGGTAGCAATCATTTCTCTTTCAAAAATATAAAACTACTAAATGTAAGATTTTATTAAAGCTAGATTACATGTAAAACAAATGGATATATATTTTCTAAAGTTCTTTTGTTTCCTTTTCATAATAAAAATTACAGGAGATATATTCTCAGCAAAAATTAATTACAAGATCTTGGTAGCTAAAAACTTTTATATATAACTGCATGTGAATGCACTGTCTACATGAGCTTATGTTTAATTATATATATTTTATTTTGTACCAAATTGGCTTATAAGTAAGTGCTCATGTAAACTGATGTTGTTAAATTAGCCCAACTTCTTTTGACTCACAGTAAAACTAAAATTTTAAGGGAAGAGGTTCCAAGTCCAACAGACTTAAGTTAGCATGGCCACATGTCCAGTATGTCAACTGAAAATATTAAATGAATGTGACCACTTTGGCAGAGCAAGTAGAAGTGATTAATGGTTCTAGATATTTTAAATCTAGATTTTAACATGAGTTTTTAAGTTTAAATGTTTAAGACAAGATATACTAAAGTCTGGTCAAGATCCTATCTCCTTGATGCTTGTCTCAGTTCTGCTTCTACAGCATGTTCTCCTAATATGCTAAACTTTTATTTCAAGGGTTATGAAAGATCACTTATCTCTGCTTTCGATATATTTTGTATGTGTGTTATATGTTTATGAATATAAACATTTTAGGCCTTTTGGATAACTACTGCCTCTTTAAAGTCAACCTACAAGTTTGACATATCTTTGCCAAGTGTATGTAAAAACAGTTCTAAACATTTAAAAAGAAAATTGATCAAGGTTTACATCTTAAAGTTTAAGACTTCTTAAAGTTTATAACTAATCTTAATATGTTACATTATAATAATATATTTGAAATAATTGTTTATCTCTGCTTTAAATTTTAAAATATAGTA